CAACGTTTAATATGTTTAAAACGGCGTAACATTAAAAACCGGGTAAAAATAAAATTACCAGATTTAATAAAAGATTTTAATAATAATTTAATAACTTTTAACATGGCTTTTAATACGTTTTATTAGATTTAACAATAGTTAAAATATTTGTTTTTATAAACAAATTATTTATAAATAATAAAAATTTAAATTTTTAAATTAATTACAAAATATTTATTATTAATAAAATTAACAATAATAAGATTTTTATTATAAAAAGTAATTTAATTTATTAAAGTTTAATAAAATGTAAATAAATTATTAAAAACGTTTTAATAAATAAAATATATATTATAATTTACGGCGTAAATATAGTTATGGTAATTAATATAACGGTAACGTTAATTTTTAAAAAATTAAAACTTTTGTTTATTTTAATAATCGTGTATATTGATTTATTTTTATTTTATAAATGTATTGTTAAATTTGGAATAACAAAAAAAAAACGGTTAATAATTAATATAATATTATTATAATAATTATATAAACGATAAAAAATAAATAATATTAAATAAATTTATAAAAAAAATAATCCGGTTAATATTATAATTAAATTAAATGTTAATAAAACGTTAAAAATATTTATTAATATTAATTATTTTATTATAAGGTTATAAAGTTAAGTTAAAAAAAATTAAAAACGTAATTAAAAAACGTTGTTAAAACATTAAAACTTAATAAAAACTTTTATTTTTAACTTATTATTACGGCAATCCCACGTTTAACAAAAATAATAAAATAAATATCGAACTTATTAAAAAATGACCATAAAAATTGTTTATTTATTAAAAAAAAAAAGCTATTAATAAAAAAAATATTTAATATATAAATTAAAATATATTTTAAAATATACTTTAAAAAATCGTATAAAAAACATTTTAACCATTTTATAAAAAAGTTAAATCTTTATAATAACATTTTTTAATTTAATATAAATCTTTTTAACAATATTTATTAAACAATTATCCCATTTTTAAACAATTTTATAACGTTATTAAATTGCGTAAACTTTATTTATTTAACTTTTATTTTTTATTTTTTATAAACATTTCTTTAAATTTTATTACATATTTTTAATAATATTTTAAAAATATTAATAAACAATTATATAATATATATTATAATATATACCAAATAAATATTTAAATTATTAACTTAAATTTTAATAGTTACTTTTATAAATTAATAATAATAAATTAACATATTAATATATAATTTTTAATTATTAACGCAACATTAACATTTAATTAAAACAATTATTACATATTAAACAAAAAATAAAACAAATATTTAAAATTAATTTATTATTTATTTTAAAACAATAATAATATACTTTATTACTTATAACATTAAATTATTAATTAATTATAACATAATAATATTATTAACATAAAATTATTCATTTTATAAATACGTTAATTTAACGTTTAACAAACATTATAAATATATAAAAAAAATTATTATTATAAAAGATAATATTAATTTAAATTAATTTAAAAAAAAAAAAAAAATTACAAAAAAAAAGTAATTTTACACCGTATAAAATTTACATTTAAACTTACGTTTAAATGCCTGGTTTTAAAGGCGTAATTACGTAATAATACAAAAAAAAAAAAGTTATTAATAATAAAACACCGGTCATATAACCATATTACATAATTAAAGTTATGTTTATATATACCGTTTAAAAATTAACTTATACATATGTAAATAAATATTTTTTATTTAATAAATCTCCCACTTTTTTTACTTAATTAAATATAATTAATTAAACCACTTTATTTAAATTACTTTATTATTTTTTACTTTTCGTATTACATAATACACGGCAACATTATTACCACTTTAATAATATAACTTATAATTATATAAATATTAAATTATAAATTAACGAAATAATTTTATTAATAAAATAAAATGTTTAATTATTTAATTGTTAAAATTACATTTAAATTAATTTTATAATTTTTTATTATATATGTAAATGTTTTTATTTAAGTTTAAATTTTTAATAAAACTTATATTTTTATATATGTTAAAATTTTCGATAACGTACGTATTTAAAAAGCTTTAATTTTATAATTTATTTAATGAGTTATAATTTTAACTTAAAAAAACTGGGTTAATAAAATTACTTTATATTTTCGTTTTTTTTATTATTATAATTATTAAAAAATAAATGGTTAATTAAATTATTAAAAGTTATAATAATTGTAAAAATTATTGGTTTATTTAAATAAATAAAAATAATTGTACGTAATAAAATGCGGATATATTATTGTTAAATAAAAAATATATTATATTTATAACGTATAAATATACGTAAGTTACGATAAATTTTTCGTGTGTAATAAACGCCGTTTTATTAACGCGTGTTAAAATTTATTTATTTTAAATCGTCCCGAAAATGTTAAAATAATATAAAGTTTTATCGTATTTATAACGTTATAAAAATATGTAAGTTATAAAAAGTTTATTTTTTTTATTAAAAGATTTAAAATATTATAATAATAACGGTAATTATTTAAATAAATTGCATTTTTTTTAATAATATTTTATTAATTTATAATATTATTAATTAATATTAATATAATAAAATATAAATAATAATATATATTTAATAAAAAATAACATAAATAAAATTATTACAATAATTATTATTAATTTAATAATAAATTATATATATAAATATTATTTATAAAAATTAAAGTTTTATATGTAAATAAATCACATATTACCACGTAATTATTTTTATATAATAATATTTTAATATAATGATTAATTAACATTTAATATTATAATTTAAAAAATATTAAATATATATTTTTAAACTTTATTACGGTTTAATATAATAAAAATATTAATTTAATTAATATAATATAAAAAATTAACCAATTAAATTAAAAAATTTAATTGTTAATTTAATTATTAATTTAATTTTTAATTATTATATTTATATATTTAAATAATTTTACAATTTTAACAAATATAATATTATAATTAATATTATTTAATAATTTTAATTAATATTATTTAATAATTTTAATTAATATAAAAATAATAATTTAAATTATATATTTATATAATATATTATTATTAAAATATTTAAAGTTTTTTAAAAACAATTATTTTAAATAATTTTATATAATATAAGTTTTTAATTAATTAATTAATTAATTAACTTTATATATATATACATATATTAAAAATTATTTTAAAAAACTTTATTTTTAATTTTTTTATTTTAAAATAATTACATATAACCGTATAATTTATAACCGATATATACGATTAAATTATTTTAATAAATTTAAATTATAAATTTAATATCGTTTATAAAGTTATACTTTTTTTAACCACACCACTTTTTAACCAATTAAAACTTAAAACAACTTTTTAAAACAATATTAAATTTATAATTTAAAGTAAATTTAAAATTTTACACATTAAAATCATACGTTTAACGTTTTAAAATAATAATATTAATAATAATATTAATAATATTATTAAAATAACAATATTAACGCGTTTTTATAATAAGTAATAATTAATTATATAATAATTATTAACTTTATTATTAAATTTATTAATTTAATTTACGCGTTTTAAACTTTTTAAAATGTTAAATGGTTAAAATTAATTATAATACCAATTATAACATTAACCGTAATAATAACCGTAATAACGCGTTAACCATAACGCGTAACAATAACCGTAATAAACGTTAAAGTTTAATATAAATATGTAAAAAAAGTTAAAAATTTAAAAAATAATATTATTAATTTTAAATTATTAAAAAAAAAAAGAAATTTTATACATGGTTATAAAATATTAAATTATTATATTTAAATATTTTATATAAAACTTAATATAATTATATATATTTTAAAACGTTAAAAATTTTTAAACGTTAAAATTTAATATATAAAAACGCGATATTATATAAATATATAAAAAAAATAAAAAATAAAAAAAAAACATATTATTAATTTTAAATCATTAAAATTAAAACTATTTTATATATTATTATAATATATTAAATCATTATAAATATAATATTTGATTTTTTTATTATTAATAAAACCGTTAAAAACTTTTATAACGTTATATAACTTTAAACCAAAAATTTTTAAATATTTTATTTGTGATTTATAAGTATAAATATATAAACCACGCGTTACGTAACGTAAACGGGCGTAATTTAACTCGAAAATTTCGGGTTTAAAGTCATTTAAAATAACGATTAAATAAAAATAATAAAATTTTACATTTAATAAAAACATTTAAATTTTACATCGTTATTAAATTAATTAAATTTAATTAATTTAATATAAAATTATATTAAAAATATAAAATAAAAATAAAAATATTACCAAATAAACGGTATAAAATTTAATTAATAAAAAAACATACATTTTATAAAGTTTAAACAATTAAAATTATTTTAAAAATACAAATATATAATAATAAATTTATATAATAAAAAAAATATTTAATAATATATAATAATTTTACATATTACCGTTTTTATACATATACGTGATATTTTTTAAAATAATTACTTTTAAAAAACTTTAAATATTTTAATAATAATACATCGTATAAATATATAATTTAAATAATTATTTTCGCATTAATTAAAATTATTAAACAATATTAATTATAATGTTATATTTATTAAAATTATAAAATTATTTAAATATATAATAAAATCTTTTAATTTAATAAACGATTACCTTTTTAAAACATATTATATATAACGTTATAACGTATATATTTAAAAAGGTTAATTGCGAAATACCGCAAAAAATCGAGCTAATTGCGCTAACCTGTGGCTGACTACCCTTTTAAGCTAAGCTCACAGATTTTTTTCATTTTGGCACAGTGGCCTGTCTGGTCAACCGTAACCGGGGAGGGGTACAACCTGTGAATCTAAGCGGGGAACAAAATCTTGGGTTATAATGTAACACGGATATGTTGAGGGGTTGCAACGTATTGTGGAATTAGGTTATACTATTTATTTATATTTCTTCGAAATATTCTAGATTCTTACCGGCACAAACAATTCGCAGATGGGCTATGGAAGATTGATCTTAACCCCAACAGTCGGAAAAAGAAGCGATGGAACTACATACTAGCTCCGCCACCAATCCCTCATAGGTGAATAGCTGATTTCCACGGGCACGTAATTTGAGGATAGCATTTCCCCCTCTCGTTTTCTGGTACTTTTCTCTTCTCTCTTTTCGATACACTTTATCGAATCATCGCTGGCATAGCTCCATAGCCTTGGGTTAGATAGTCATACTCAATGGCATCATGGCATGGGTAATCCGTCACGCCCGGGATTTCTCGCCTAAACTGGCAATACCCCGGGGTCAAGCAAGGAGGTTCATCGCCGTGACGGTCCATCGGCAGGGCTGCTCGGGCACGTCTTTCACGAAGCATAATCCACATCAAAAACAATCCACAAAATACGGGCTGATAATTGCTTGGGTTCCTAGACCTATTGTCGATGTAACCTCGAAATACGAGATCGTTATAGCTTGGCAAAATGCTATCGTACTTATTGAATAACGATGGATATAAAGTCGTGCTTTTCACTTTCGTAACACCGCACCTCGAGTTTGAGGCACACATCTTTTCGTGTGTAAACCTGCCGACAACAATATGCGCGTAGGACACTTCCTGTTACCGTTGCTGCTCGCTGCTTCCGGCAGTGCGCAGAGCGCTGAATTCATCTCACGCCGTGACCTCAATGGCACCTTGAAAATCGGTGAAAATGCCACCCCGAGGCGGTTCATCGTCGAGTTGAAGTCGCGTGCGCACAGAGCCCACGTCTCGGCCAAGGTTACGGGACTCCCCGGGCTCCGTGTTGTGAAGGAGTTCGATTCGGATCTCTTCCCGGGCGTAAGCATCGAGTGTGAGAGTCACTGCAGCGCCGAGTCGCTCACAGACGCTCTTGACGCCGATGAAGATGGCCCTGTCGTAGCATCGGTTTACAGATCAACCCTCGTGCGTCTCTTGCCACCCGCGATAGAAGGCGAGTCGTTTAGTAACGACGCGGCCGCTGCTAATTACTCGGTCCATGGCTCGACAGGTGTCGAGAAGCTACACCAAGCCGGAATCATTGGCGAGGGTGCGATAATTGCTGTCGTTGATAGTGGCGTCCAATATACCCATCCTGCGGTAAAGTCCTCCGTCCGAAATTTGCCTACCCAGTTAAATAGACGAATTTCCATATTCGCTAACAAGGACGCGTTTATAGCTCGGTGGAGGCATTGGCCCCAACTATACAGTAATTGGCGGTTACGATCTTGTCGGCAGCGGTTTGTCTCTACTCCTAATTTATTGTTATGTAGCCGCGCATGTGAGGCTGACTTTCATTTATTTCATCAGCATGGCCTGATGTACCAGCCGAGCCCGACAACGATCCGATGGACGAATATGGCCACGGCACCCATGTCGCAGGAATAATCGCAGGAAAGAGTGACCAGTAAGCCGCTCTTGTGATATGGTTGCATCGCCCCCGTCTAAATACTGACACGAGATAGATTTGTTGGTGTTGCTCCAGGTGCCAAATTACTTTCCTTCAAAGTCTTCGGAAACAGTGGCTATTCAAACGAAGAGACGGTTATCGAAGGGTTTCTCAAAGCCTTCGACTCGGGGGTAAGCGGACTGGACCTTCACCCCCTATTAAGACGTTAAAAGGTTGCTTATGTTCAACCCACCGCTAACTGTCCTCTAGGCTGATATCATTAGCGCAAGTCTGGGAGAGAATAGCGGCTTCACCTCAAATGCTTGGGCCGTACTAGCTTCGAGGATGGTCGAAAAAGGCGTAGTTATTTCTATTGCTGCAGGAAACGAAGGCGACAATGGCCCGTTTGATGCCAGCAACGGAGCCTCGGGGAAGAATGTTCTTACTGTAGGAGCTGCTGAACCCGGGGCATTCCCTGCCCAGGCTTTTTCGGCGGACTTTAAACTGGGTGGCCAGTCAAACGAGACACAGATCGCTTACATACCCTCGTCCAGCTTTTTCCCTAATACCATCCTCGACTGGCCTATCAAAGCGGTATCGCTCAACTCATCAGTAGAGGATGATGCCTGCAGCCCACTGCCGGCTGACACTACCAGCTTCAATGGAACTATCGCACTGGCCAGAATTGGAGGGTGTGAAATTTCCGTCAAGCATACCAACATTGCAGCCTTCGGCGCACAATACGTCTTATTCTACAATGATGACAGACCGTACCAAACGTTATATACCAGCAATACCACTGGCCTCATAGCAGCCATAGAGGCCCGCTCAGGTAAAGCAATTGTCGACGCAGTCGCCGCAGGTGTCGAGGTTACGGCGTCGTTTGACATCGACACCGCCCACTACGTCGGCCTTTACAATTCAGGTAGCGGCCGTCCAGCGCGATACACGTCCTGGGGAGGAACCTACGATCTTGCACTCAAGCCAGATATTGCCGCTCCGGGTACCAAGATCCTTTCTACTTATCCAACCGACCAGTACCGGGTACTCAGCGGCTCAAGCATGGCCACTCCATATATTGCTGGCGTAGCCGCGCTGTGGGTAGGCAAGTTTGGTGGACGAGCTGCCCACGCAGATGATCCTGCGTGGGCTAAACGACTTACCGCCAGAATCATGGGCACCGCACGCGCTGTTCCCTGGGCTGACTGGTCTACAAGTACTACCGACTACGGGTTCTGGGCGCCGACTACACAAGTTGGTGCTGGGTTTGTTGACGCCGAGCGCGTGTTAGAATATTCTACAGAGCTCGGGTTCGAGGGCCGCAAGTTCGAGCTTAACGATACAGCTCACTTTACCGGTACGCACTCGGTTGACATCACTAACTACGGGGACAAGCCTATCACGTACACGTTTTCGCTACAGGATGCCGGCGGCTACGATTCGTGGAATCCGATTGTACCGGGCCACCCACAATCATTTATTCCCGGGCTCAAGCTCTACCCAGAGGTAAACCCAGTAAAGATGACCCCTAAGATTTCATTCCCTAAGGGGGACTTCACTGTTGCTCCTGGCGAGAAGAAGACAGCTGAGTACGGATTCCTCTCTCACGTCCCCAAGGCGATAAAAATGGAGATTATTATGTTAATACTCTTGTAGATTTATTTTCACCGCCCCAGAAGGACTCAACACCAGCAGCCTACCCGTTTACAGCGGCAAGGTCTTAATAAGCGGCGATAATGGCGAGCAACTTGGCGTTCCTTACTTTGGTCAGTATTTATGTGCAATTCGTATTAATATTGGCATAGGATACGGTTTTATCTAACTACGAAGGCAGGTGTTGCTTGCGACCTCAACCAAACCATTACCAATATTTGGGACTACGGTAAGAACTACCCTTGGTTGACATCTGGGGTCTCGGACAATAGAATCCAAAAGAAGTCCAAGTAAGCTCCCGACCCTTTGTGCCGAATATTCTTAGTACAAAAATATTAATATGTTAATTAGCTTTACCTTCAACCTATCCCGCGATGCGCAAGACTTCCCTAAGCTTAATACTGAGTTCGCCTGGGGTACGGAAGAGTTACGCTGGGATGTAAGTTTACACTCTCCACGTTGCATAGATATCGTTAAACTAACTCCCCGTCAACCCAGATCTTCGACGAAGATTATACCGAATCCGACTGGACTTACCCACCTCAGGTCGGCAAGAATAAGTATGTCGGATCGGCCACAAGTTGGAACGGCACGTCAAAATCTCAATGGTTCACACCGGGCCAAGACAGCGAGGATGATATCTTTTCTTTCCCGCTATACGACCAGCCGCGCAATAAATGGGGAATCTACTACTGGCTAGGGCGGTTCGCCAACGGATCGAGTATCCAGGCTGGATCTTACAGATTCCGCATCGCTACTCTGAGACCGTTGGGTGATCCTCAAGTATCGTACGATTGGGATATTTGGGAGACGCCAAAGGTTACAGTCCTACCACTAGCGGAGACAAATACATCGACTTCAAGATAGCTCATTTCTTGTATAGGTAGGTAGTTTACGCTAGGAACATTTGACAGGAGTACGATAGCGATGAAATAAAAGAATGGTGTTAAAAAGAATGAAGTGCATTAGGAGAGGTAGCTGTGGCCTTGATTAACAGTCTTATGCAAATGTATACGATTAAAAGGGTTTAGATCGCAAGCTAACAGGTATGTTGCGCGGAGAGTGGTAAAAAAAAAGAAAGAAAAAAGAAAACGTTAATGTGAATCTCTCGATCGGGGAATTGAACCCCGGCCACCTGCGAATTCAATGACAAGCAGGTATCCTAACCACTAGACGAATCGAGACTTTTCTTTGGTGGTGATGGAGATTCGCTCGCGGTAGAATAATTTATAGGGCAAGATTGTATCATTTGTGGGTCCACCGTATGTCACGCTAGGCTATTCTGAGAGTTCGCAGTTTTAATGCGCGTGCGATACGGCAGCAATTGACTTCGGTAGTAGGAATATTACCATACTAAACTCAACCATATTGAAGTTTCTTTTTCTTCTTTTCACTATAAGTTGTTCCTTTTTTTTCGCTAGTACATCTCGTTAAGTTACACTTTATATGATTAGCTTTCAGATATTAAAACGTAGTTTGGAGTTTGGGATAATCCTGAGCACGAACGTGCAAGTCCCCAAAGATGGCCGCCGAGTCGTCGCCCGGTAGGCTCTCCATGCGGTGTGTGTCTTCATCTTCCAGCTTTTCCAGCTCCTCTACGGGGTCCTCCTGGCCGTCTTTCTGACCCCTCTGCGGCTCGGTGGCTTTTTTAATGCCGCTCGATTCGCCAATTAGTAAAAATTGAGTGTTTACATAGTCGAGATGCTTGGGCTGCGTAGCGACCCATCGTAGGCCGCGGAATCCATCTTGCAACCTACAGCGCAAATTGTTAGCTGACAGCTAATCTAAGTCAATGCAATTTTATGAGGACTTACTCCTTTGGATATTCGGGAGCTCGGGGAAGGGAAGTACCCTTCGGAGGCTCATACTGAGGGTTTCTGGTGCTTATAATGAAGCTTCCTTTCTTCTTTAGCCCAATTTCCTTCTGCACCTCACCAAGATCATCCGGTAAAGTTACCATGTAGGCGAGATGGGATTTTCGGCCGGTACTCGTAATGGCGTAGATGCCTTCCGCTACGGGGGTAGCAGCAGGCGTGTGTCGAACACCGGCCGTCTTAGTGGTGTAGTCCGACGCAGACAGGAACTCATCCTTTAACGTCTTAAAAGAGGTATGCGACTTCTCGACGAACGCGATCCACCTATCCTTACCACTCAAGGGCAATACTTTCTTTGGAATAGCGATCAAGCGACTATTCCCAGCGTCGTCGATCGTGCCTTCGCCAAGCTTTGCGTCCTTGGCTAGGGGACGTAGGATGATGTAACTGCGGCGAATATCATCGATGCTGCTAGGCTCGTCGATACCTACCCTGCCGCGGATAAAGAAGTATATGATACCCTTCTCCAAGATGTTAGACGGGACGACTCCTTCTCTCGCCCCTACTTGCTCGGCCGAGCCCCTTTGATCTATTTCCTCTTGGGTGACCCCATTTTTACCATCTATACTGTTCCCATTAGCTGGTAGCTGGCTTGTGCCGTCGCCGTACGCTTCAGTAGGACTGACTAGGTTAGTTAATTGTCAATGCCATACAAGATCGTGTTGTAGAAGTACCTCGGAATAGTATCTTCTATGGTTTGCTGTTTCTCATCGCCGTCATTTTTAGTACGTTTAGATTCTGGCAATGCCTTCGTATTTAGTTGGTGCTTGGAGCTAACCCCTGCTCTGTTTTCATCCTTCGAGGTCGGCTCAACTTTGGCACCGGATCTAGTGGTGGGCATATTAGAAATTCGTAGCGGCTGTTAGGAATTGAAAGTGGTACGAATATATGAAGCGGAGAGGATGTGAGGAGCTTTGATCTTAGTCTCGACGATAATCTAATTGACTGTGAGATAGGTTGGCGATTTTATATATAAATAAGGAGTTGGTAAGCTTGAATGTTAGATATAGCTTGACAAGTCTTGCTAGTAGCTTGGATCACTCTGATGTCATTAATCTGATTTAAGGCTATCCTATTTCAAGGACATACAAGGAGCTTGGGCCATATTCATAATGATAGCTGTTTTCCTCTTTGGGAAAGTGAGGTCATATTAGTACGCATCAACGATCACAACTCTGGATATAGAATTGATACACGTTATTCGGGATATATCATGATTACATCTGATGGATTATGTTGGCGATCCTATTTATATTCGATTATATAATTTGGAAATTTGAACATAATGTCTTATCGTCAATGTGAGGAATCATCATATTATTTCCTACTGGTTATAAGCAATTGGGGAGAGATCACAGCATGCGCGTCATGGCTGACGGGGATATTATGTGATCGACGAGCTAGTATTATACAAGTTAGATCCAATAAAGGTATTTTTTTACCTTAACTAATTGATACTTGAAAAGTCTTTAAAGTTGGTAGTTAGTTGGTATTTTTCATTTAACTACCTGTTATAACTCTTGCATAATAATTCCCTTCGCGTAGAGAATCGCGGCCGCGTTCCGTCGTATGCTTTCGTATTTTCTTAACGCCAAGGGATATTAGTTATAGATGGTACAAGATAACCACACCTAGGCGTGTGGTTTGCGTGATAGTACCATGCTTGGAGTGGACAATAGTATATGTGCTGTTTTAAGTTGCATTCCATTCAAGCTGCGCATCCTCCTGGAGCGCTTTGACTTAAACGAGGTGGTATTCAACACTATCAATACGCGAACATGGAACAGGAGTAATAATATTGACCCAAGAAAACTCACTATAAATACAAGAGGAATCACAACGAAGAGACGACGAACTAATATGTTAAGAATGTCTCTAGTGAGGTTTTATGGCATTTATCTCGCTCGATGTGACGAGGTGTTTTCATCATTTATTAATATCTATCGGCGGTCCACATATGACTTACCCCTGAACCTATTCCGCTGATGCCCCACCGGCCGGGCATGTGCGTCAAAAGAGATCTCACCACCATCCCCGTCTCGGATAGTATCCGATATCTTACACACAACCAATACCAAGAGTAGTTCTCAACTAGCAGAGGCCAAGCCAACGCTGAATGGAACATCATTAAACAAAATATTTCCCTTCTGGGAAAGCCATAACCGCTGATTAGCTACATACGACTTAGGTCGCGCACAGGTCGGTAACACGTTCCGAATTTGCATAGTCTAAGCCTCTTAGGGTCACTCTTAAGGGTCTCTCCTAGGGGACTACTCATTGGGTGGGGATTTGGCGAGTTTATATAAGCCGTTCCCTAACAGAGAGAAATAGATTCACGATGTTGAGTTGCTACGGTGGTTTCTCTTTATCTATCTTGAGCAAAACTTGATAGACGGCAACGAGATCCTATTCTAGGCTCAGCCGCTCACTCTCATTAATTATATCCTACATCTGACCGATCCATTCTTTTATATATTATTGTTTACTTAATTGCTTTCATTCTTTATCTTATAAACTTGCACTCATTAAAATGAAGCCGGCAACACTCGCTCTCCTCCTTGGCCCTGTGGGCATTGTAGCCAGGCCATGTGGTGGCCATCGTTCTCAGACAGCTTCATCTACAATTTCGTCTACAGTTTCTTCGACAACATATAATACTACCGCATCATCGACTAGCGAGTCTACTACAGCAACTTCAATTCCTTCCATCACTTCCACGACGATTCCCTCGGTAACTCCTTCCGTTACATTGTCCACCAGCGAACAGGCTACCTCTTCCACGACGACATCTGCTGCCCCAACGTCTACTCAAGGTAGCGGCTCCTCATCTGACAGCATTGACGAACTATTCAAGGCGAAGGGCAAGCTTTACTACGGCACCGCAGCTGACTCTGGCACTCTGTCCAAGTCCCAAAATGCCGCTATCATCAAGAAGGACTTTGGGCAACTAACCCCTGAGAATAGCATGAAGTGGGATGCTATCGAACCAACCCGTGGCGGCTTCAGCTTTGGCGGTGCCGACGCGCTTGTTAACTTTGCCGTGCAGAACGGCCAAAGCATTCGCGGCCACACTCTCCTCTGGTACCAGCAGCTACCGGACTACGTCAAGGCCATCACAGATAAAAAGGAGCTTACCAGCGTCATTGAGAACCACATTAGCACCATTGTCGGAAGATACAAGGGCAAGATTCGCTCTTGGGTACGTAACAGCTAACTCTGAATATGAAAGGGAAAACACGCTAATACGATTGGTTTAGGATGTTGTAAATGAGGTCTTCACCGAGGATGGTACCCTCCGCGATTGTGTCTTTACCCAAGTTCTAGGCGAAGACTTTGTCCGTATCGCTTTCGAGGCGGCGCACAAGGCGGACCCAGATGCCAAGCTTTACATTAACGACTTCCATCTCGAGAGCGGAACGTCCGCCAAGACCACCACCGGCATGTTTGAGCACGTAAAGAAGTGGCTCGCTGCCGGCATCCCGATCGACGGTATTGGTATCCAAGGTCATCTCGGCGGTGGCAACCCCAGCGCTAGCGCAATGCAGGCTGGATTGGAGAAGCTCGCTACGACCGGTGTAAAGGAACTTGCCATTACCGAGTTAGATATCGTCAACGCGTCGGTCGATGAGTATGTTAAGGTCACCAATGCTTGCCTTGCTGTCAAGAAATGTGTTGGAATCACCCTATGGGGCGTGAGCGATGCTGTGAGTCTCCTATTCTAAGATACCCGACATCAAAAACTAACTTCCTTTAGGATTCGTGGCAAGCAAAGAGTTCACCGCTCCTTTTTAATACTAGCTACCAGCCCAAACCTGCATATGATGCTATCGTTAAGGCTCTCGCATAAGCAGCTTTGTGATATCAGTAATTAAAGCATAATGCGCTACTCTGATGATGGCGAATAATTTTCACGGGCTTGAGCAGTCCATAATTGTAATAGCTGAAGCTATCTAAAGGCTAGGGTCTCGATGAGCTACTACGATAGTTTCCACTTCTCATTCCTCGAAGTGATGAGCACAAGGGGATATGAACCGAATTAACACATAAATTAACTGTAATTTAATCGTAATCTATTTACTAGTCAACGATATCACAGCGACCAATGAAGAAATTAACCCTTCTTAAAATCAAGTGACCACCCGGATAAACCTGTTGCCTTGAACGAATCATCATTAATCATCTTAAACACTATCCATTAACTCACTCAGTAGTAACGAGGCCTTGAAGATGAATTAATAGCCCATGTATACCCATCTGATTTAAGTCAGGATTGTTGTTGTCTTCTAACATAATCGTAACCACCCCCTAAATATTATACCTCAACATAATTTCCCTAAGGGGCACTTTGGCATTCCATCCCTTGGACTAGAATTATAGCACTGACCATGGAACCCTTTAACCATTCATGCCTTATCAGAATTCTGTAGGTATTTATTCATAATAATCCAGATTGCGTATTTTGGTTTGGGATATCCAACAACGCGGGCGCCACATTATATCACTCTGCCCTTCATCTGCTTATCCCGGATGTTCAAGTTCTTCCAAGCTAGCGCGCAGGGAATCGTCAGCGACAGGGCAGCGCACGCAGCAATGCACATACGCTGCATGCCTTCACCATAAGCATCCATGATAGCCAAGCGCCCGGGCGTTTCCCATTTATACGACAGCTGCACTACGAGGCTCCCGAAAATCTTGCTGGCTTGGTCCTTAAGCTCTAGCGGGAGGTGCTTCTCAAGCAGACCGGGCATACTATGTGTCCATATCCCACCACTGACGCCAAGGCCGATTGTATCTCCAACCGCAGTGAATAGAGCGAGGAGCGCAAGTACCATGGCCACGTTAGTATGTTCGGCGGCGGCCATAATAGCAATCTTTTCGGTTACAACAAGCGTCTGGCAATGATTAGACTACAAATCAGTGGCCTTGAGAATAAAAGCGTCTATGCTTACCGAGGCGCCTATAGTCTCAAGCACTTGACACATGGCCACCAAACCGAGTGGAGTACCTGGCATGCGGTACTTGATCATCAGCCCGGCGCTCATAACCAGCAGAGGAGCTGCGATGAGCGCTAACCACTTATACCGGTTTGTCACACGGATTAGATAACCGATAACAAAACTCCAGGAGCATGAGCCCAAGTTGTAGATGTTACCGATCTAGCCTGCATCTTTTATGGATAAACCGAAGACTACTTGAAGCTGGCTTTGAAAGCTAACGTATCAGGACATTGGGTCAGCTTACAATCATACCTGCCTAGAACATTTGATGACCCCTTTTAGAAAACGGCGATTATAAGACTATTCGACTTACTACTAACTCGTTAGCCACTATTGTTAAAAGAATGCCGAGGAAAGTTCACGGAATTAGAGGGTTTGATACATACCTACGAGCCCCAACACCTCGACGCGAGGAACATCACGCCGCTCATGATGCAAGCGCCCATAACTGTACGATCCCACAGCAGATGGAACGATACGAGAGTCACTTTGGCGAAGTACTTCTCCCAAATGCAGAAAGCGACAAGTGACCAGCCACCAATAACGATCATGGTGATGATCGCAGCCAACCTCCATTTATCAGTCTGATACGTGGCGAGACTAAGGGGTAATATGATGAGCGAGAATCCGGCTACGACAAGAACCATGCCGACAACTCGAAATAATTAGCGAAAACTACCATAGAATACGCCATCCTCTCCCAGACATACCGTCGAACTCAATTGCATAATGCATTACGCTTTGTGACCATGTCCGACCGGAGTCACGAACAGCAGCGGGGAACCGCTTGCGAGCCTCCTTGCGAGTGTATAGCAAGATCCAGAGAACTGGAATCGCAGAGAAGGGAATAATAATTGCTAGGGTACCATAGGCCCATCGCCAACCAATACCAAGAAGAAAGTCTTCGGCGGCGGCGGGTCCTGCAAATGTGGTTGCTAAAAACGGAGCAGACATCACAGCCAAAAGCAATGCTCGGTTCCTCAATTTCGAAGTATCCGCAACCAAAACGTCGAGCACAAAATTCATGCCATTCTCACCAACGCGGTAGAATACCTTTTGAATCAGCCACCGTTAGCATTCTAGTATACGTTTAGGTTGGGAGAAGAGGTAAGAAGCGTACGAGAGCCGCAGCATAGGTTTCGACATTTCTGCTCACGGCCATCAATACAATCCCTAGCGTAGCGAAGCAGGTCATCAAAGCGAACCCTTAGGGTCGACCCCAGATATCGATGATCTTTGCGATAGGAATGCGCGAGACGCCCCCGAAGATGGATGCTACTACATGCGCTGTCGTGAGTAGCGAATGCCGCTGGAAGTCGCTTGTAACGTAAGCGATGAAAGAGTTAAACAGGCTAGACCCAAAAGCTAAGATAAAATTGACGATCAGCAGCCTAAGTATAAATCAGTACGTGGCTTATTTCATATTTTCGGTTTATTAACATGCGTATCTGATTATCATTAATTTCTTCGACCAAGTCTGAGTGATAGCTTCGATGTCTCGAACGCCATCTTGGCCTTCTATGTCTGGAACGTGCTTTTCGTCAATGTCAACGCTACCACGACCTTCGACGTTTTGAGCCGCGGCCCGGCCGATTTCGTCTATAGTAGCCGAGTGTGACGACTCCTGAGGTCGGACACCAGTATTAGTAGTCTTGGGGCCTACTTTAGGGGACCTCTTCTCGTGCATCTCTGTCATAGTAGCTCTAGTCTACCCACTGAAAGTGAGATACAAACGCGATTTGGAAGAGACCTCTAGAAATCAAGACTCGGCCGATTAAAGCAAGGCTTGGAGTATAAGAGGTAATAACCCCAGGTAATACAAACGAGAGCGGAGACAAAGCTGCCATAGACTGTGTTACCCTTCATCGATGGGATGGTTACAAAGCTTTCCTAAGGTCAAGTAGGTACTGCAATGTTGATCCGCCCGAGATGGAATATCATTGGCGAGTTATCATATAGATGATCTGATAAAATAAGATAACGGGGGACCCCTGGTAGCTTGGCGACTAAATTTATCTGATCTCTCGTCTATGCCGATGAGGATAAGCCAGCTATCGGTATAGGACTTGACTGGTAGAGTCGCGTTGCGTTTGTTCTGGAATCATTGCTTGAGAGACGATACGCATGGTATAACTTAGGTCATAAGAACTTTCTAGATAATCTATCTAAATTCCACCTATACGGCTAAGTGACTGTCATAAGATGGCGTGGCTTGAAGGTAACATATGAATACGATCCTTGCATGAGTCTGCAAGGGGTGATTCACCTCAGAATGAATCCCGCTAAGTGAATTTCAATCACCCCCGCTTCGCGATATATACATAATTCAATTCCAGATTGCATACTTCGTAGTTGCAACTATCGTAGCTCCTTCGCGTCGCTTCCCAGCTTCAACTCAGGCCTTTTCAATCCGACATCCCAAACCAACTATTACTCGTCTCGCCCCAAGATGTCCAGGAAACCGGTTAAAGGCGAGTATATCGAAACCGTAAGATAGCTCCCCACTATAAACAATATAGTAGTGCTTAATTAACATTTCTACCTACGATAGGATACAGGGAACAAGGTCTCGAGGAAGGCCATCCTGATCGGAACCCAGCACATCATGCTAGGCGGCAAGACCATCATCCAGGCCGAAGCCATGATTCGCGGCGATCTAGCGAGGACCGGGCAAGCTGTATCAGGCTCAGCCGCCGCTCCTGGTAGCAATACGGCCGTGGCTATCGGTCGCTACTGTTATCTGAGCAAAGGATGCTGTTTGCGCCCTCCAGGTCGCATATACAAAGGGTCAGTTGCGCATAATCTAGAAGAGCATAGTTTACAAGAGCTCCCATCTATTTTGAAAGTTACGTGCTAACTATCCATATCTCTCACCTCTCAGATCCTTCACCTTCCTCCCCCTCCGATTAGGCGACCACGTTTTTATCGGCGAGGGCACCGTCGTCCAAGCAGCAACCGTCGGCAGCCACGTCTACATCGGCCAGAACGTCGTCGTTGGCGAATTTTCTATCATTAAAGACTACGTCCGTGTCCTCGAAGGCACCGTTATACCCCCAAACATGGTCATACCAAGTTTCAGCATCGTTGCCGGCCAACCAGCCCGAGTTATCGGCGAGGTGCCCGAAGGCGGCCACGAGGCATTCGAGCTCCGAGAGCTGTACAAGACAGTCGGGAATAATCCACAGCCGCTACCTGTCTAATTTACAATTGCCATTGGTGCGATGTGCGCTCTTATATCCCTACACTCGTTGGTTGGATATAACCAAAATGCTCAAGCATCACGGCCAGGCCGACCCAGTTACAATCGCGTATCAGGACTACTTTCATGACGTATCGAATCAATCATCGTCAATGCTAATCGTCAATGCTAATCGGCGTGTCGCTCCAATCCTAGATCGGAATCGAATCGGTCATATGCCATTTCAGTCCTCTGACCTGAAGGTAACATCTACTTGAAACGCATGCGCTCCTTGGCCACATTGTGTAGAGGGAACTCACCAGATTTCATGGCTTGCATTACGCGCTACTCTCAATATAACCCCGAACTCACCCCCTTCACCAACGAAGAGGGCTAACGGGTTAGATATGATATATGAGACATGAGGACTAATAAATACCCGCACCGCGCTATCATGGATAAACAAGGTGCTGGATTTCTTCCGGTGAGTAGCGAACCAGGTCAATAGCAAGTATCGCAGCTAAGATTAGCAACGCTTAGGATATCTAGGAGACGTTTGTTGAGGTCGTCACCTGTTCATGAATATTGATTTCGGTCGTAAGAGAAACTTGGTGTCGAGGTGAAGGTTTCAAATATGTTCTCTACGGCCTACAACTGATAGTCATATCATATTTTTAGGGTTAGTTAGGGTTAAGTTAGGGTTAGGGTTAGGGTTAGGGTTAGGGTTAAGGGTTAAGGGTTAAGGGTTAGGGTTAGGGTTAGGGTTAGGGTTAGGGTTAGGGTTAGGGTTAGGGTTAGGGTTAGGGTTAGGGTTAGGGTTAGG